TTCGGGCTGAGGGGGCGTGTTAGAGTATTTGTCCCACACGGGAAAGCTATAAAACAATAAACCATTGTATAAGGCTTTGGGCTACTCCTTCTATCAGGTTACCTTTTAGGATGGAACCCCAAATCTTAAGAAGTATACCTATATACCATCATTCTCTTTCCTACTATTTCATTTAAACACAATCCACTACATCTTTTACATTACACCCCTATTATTTTTCTCTTAAAACTCGTGCCAAGGCCTAAGGGGACAAGTATTGGAGAAAGGAGGGAGTATGTTATAGATTTAAAAAGACATTTTCCTTTAGATGAAGAAGTAACTAGTTTCGAGGGAGGGGGAGGGGGTACATTAGCATATTGAGCATGAAAGTTATTAAATCAATGATGAAGTATATAACTATTATAGTTGAATTGCGTTTGAGGATCTATAGAGTTGTCATCGTACATAGGCAACTCACCGTAGAAGTAAGTATAATAATACTCTAAAAATGTTATATAACTAGCAAGTCTGAAACGAGGAACAAGAACAAAAGCAATAACATATATAGAAGGAATATAGACATAAAAAAAGGAATATAGACATAATATTTTGAAAACTTTTCTTTTCATGAAATCACAAAAATAATAAACATAAGGGGCTTCAAAAAAATTCTTGGAAAGCATCAACGAGATTAACACGCTGCGAATTTTCTTCATGGTGTCTAATTCAACATGTTCTATAATATAGTTGCAAGTTTTTATAAAAATTATGGAAATGATCCCTAAATCTAAGAAGCACATAAATTAATTTATAAATACTACTGTGACAAATAGACAAATGTTTGGGAAAAGCCCAATACCTAACACATTTATATTTCAAATAGCACGGCATTGCAGTTTAAGTTGAAGTACTATCCGAAATAAGTCTAATACCTTCATAATCGAATTTATCCATCACATTTCCTAATGTTGCAAGTTGTCTTTCACACATATAAAGGTAAAATGTCATGTACAACGTTGATAAAAAATCTACCCATCAAAGTAGAAGAATTACATAACTCACACATTCTTCTAGGTATAACAATAAAATTATTAGTAACATTATCAAAACCTATAGCAAACACCTTATCAAACAAATTATTTTCACTTGAAATACGTTCATTGATAATATAAATATTATCATCGGTGTGTTTTCATTAAAATTTCGAAAAGCGATAACTCATTTATGCATTGTCAATCATCATCAATAAAATGTACAGTCACACTCAAATAATACAAGTGATGATATGTATCTTCTCATATATTACTACAATCAGTCAAACGGTCTTAAAAATTTGCGAAAAAATGATTCATGTTTTCCTTTTCCAAAGCATATTATTTAATAATTTCTGCTTTAATTGTTTTGCGGGTATAGTTTCGAAATTGCGGATTTAAAAAACATTGAACATAAATACATAAAGCAAGACTTTCTGAAAAATAAAAGACAAATTTTCTTCACTTATTAATTCAAACATAACTTTCAAATGTTGCACATCATTATAAACAAAATTAACAAAGGGTTGATCATTTGCAAACCTCGATATTTGTGTTTGCGTGCCTCTTCCCTTCGTCCTTAACGCCTCTGCGGGATGCCTTCAGTTCAAGTGCCCACTCACGGAGACATAGCCCCCAACACCTTCATGCACAATATTTGCAAGTTGCATACCATTTGCCGTCCACTAGATCCTTAACCTTTGTAAAATAATATTTATAAAGATGAGAATGAATTTTGGAAGTTTTACCTTGTTCGGGTGGTTCAGATGAACCGGCGCCGCTCCCTTGTTCCTTCTCGTCAGGGTAATACCCACAACCTTCCTTCTCCCCTGACAGGGGCTCCTCCTCAGCCTCCTACTCAAAATCTTCGTCAATCTCGGGAAGTTTCTTATTACAAAAATCATCCTTGGTGTTGTGATAAGAGTTGCGCCATTTGTTCGTCATACATGGCATCTATAGGGTCACAATTGACCTCTCAATCATCACGAGTTTGGGACAAAGATGTTGTTCCAACTTGTGTTTACCATAGGACCGTGAAAAAGGATGAGATTGTAAAATCTTTTTCTTACGGTTGCATTGGAGATTACCTAAATCACCAGATTTTCTACCGCTTGACATGTTAAATTGTAACAAATATTAAAACGTAACAAATATTAAAATGTAACGAATATTAAAATGTGACTAATATTAGTATGATTATTGGAGCATATTCTCATATATTAAGGGGTATCAACATTTACGATAAAAGATCTATGGAATCCACTAAGGCAATATTATGGAGCACGAGCGGCTGACTCCTAAGCACCATCGTGCCTACTCTTGGTCGGGCTCATCGATCCTTAATCTGGAACGGGGGCCGCCACATTAAGCAGCACGAACGGCTCCACAACGCTGTCGTGCCTATTTCTCGGTCGGGCTCGTCGATCCTTAATCTGGGATGGCGGCCGCCACATTATGCAGCACGAACGGCTGGCTCTTCAACACTGTCATGTCTTTTTCTCGGTCGGGTCCACTCATAACATTCCGGGCCGGGAATGCCGTTTTATGCAGCACGAACGGCTGGCTCTTCAGCACCGTCGTGTCTTCTTCTCGGTCGGGTCCACCCATAACATTCAGGGTTGGGACCGCCTCTTTATGCCGCACGAACGGCTGGTTATTCAGCGCCGTCGTGCCTAATGCGTGGATTGCACCTAACTTATCACTTATGCATGCCTTGCGTCTGAGACTAGTTTGAAGACACCGATTCAGGGAAGGCATGGAGGAACATGAGCAATAGTATACGTTCTTAAGTAGATTCACATACTCACTAGTCACTACTCAAGAAACTGGGGGACTTGTTTTGGGGAATATAGTCCTGGCATGTTACTGTTCAGGGGCCCAAAGCATCACCCCAATACGAAACTCAGTCGGGGAGGCTCATTTAGGCCTACCCGGCCCATTGACCCATTAAACCCCACCGGGCGTTCATCCCCAGAGATATGGGACATCAGGGGAGGCCTTTCCCCTACGCATAGATACGTACGTCCCCAAAAGCCCATTCACTGAGGCGAATATGTGCGAGATAGCCCAAGGTGGGGGCAAGGTCTGTCCCTAATGGGGGACGCTCGCTGTCGCTCGGCCTCAGAACACCAGCCACTTAAGGCAGGCAACCACATTCCAAGGTACTTCTGTCACACGACATACGTACCTAAGGAGCAACCTTGTAACTTGGCCCTAGAGGCAATGCAAGGTACACCAAAGGCAAGCTTGTGGAGAGGAACATCCCCTATGGGCCCCTAGGGTCAAATCATATGGATAGCCGGGTACGAAGGTCCAGGGGGCTTCACGACGTTCGGCTTATGGGGCTTGAGCAATGTACATGAAGACGCTTGTCCCCAACCTTTAGCGGGAAGCCATGACACATGTGTCAATCTACGGGGGACGTCCGTCCCCACTCTTTGACGGGAAGCCATGACACAAGTGGCAGGCTGCATTCAATGCTGGAGCATGGAGGTCTCAAGTGGGAGCATGGAGGTCTCAAGTACTACTAGGAGCATGGAGGTCTCAAGTAGAAGCATGGGCTCTCAAGTATGGAAAGTAACCAATCACATTGGGGCATCCCATACCCCCACCTACCTATTTTCTAGGTACAAATAGTAATTTGCCTCCATATTTAAAGGTCGGCTTCTTCTCCTCCCTCTCTCCTTAGCTAGATATACTCCATTAATGGGAGCTCAAGTATACATGCATGTAATGTGAGGAGAATATTAATAAAATGAGCGGGCTTGGACGTTAGCATAAAAAGTCATGTGGTTTTCTCCCTTTCGGGTTTCCACGCAAAAATCGAGTGTTATACCATATTATATTTTAATTTATTAGATTATGTTGGACTTAAACTCAATAGTTATCTTTTTCTTTCTCTTTCAATTTATTTCGATTGATTATTCTCATCAACCAGGTAAACAAGCCCATCCTTTTGATTACTTTTCTATTCTTCTATCATGTTGCATGTAATTTTCATTTTTGCATATGCTAGTTTAGAATAATGGGAACGAATGAACAATTTTTACAGCAAAATGGTTGTTAACATTTCTACGTCATGTATCTCTTGCTACAACGACTAAAGTGATTTATTGAGTATATGCCAATTTCAGTTTGGAAGGTTCTTAGGAGAACCATGATAAATATTTTGACAACAATGTGTTATAATTCTTGAGTCAAATATCTCTTGCTTTAGTGATTAATTTTCTATGATTCTCTTGTTGAAAAGCAGACCAAATCACTCTAGACCTCGATAATTGTAAATTACACAGAGACAAAATATCCAACTAAATTTAGATCAACACTAGATTAATTCAGACCGGAATTTAGGCCCTCCTATTAATAACATTCTAAATTTTAATGTATGGATTTACTATTCTTGCACGTATGAGTTAATTAATGATCGAGTGTAGGGACACAACTATTTCACTCCCATTTTGATTTTGAATGTAAAAAGTTGTACATTTTTTGTAGGCACGCCCGTGTACTCAAACAATTGGAAATAATTGTCAACTTTTTAAAATGAATTATCACAAAATACAAATTAGGGAGTGTGTAGAAAAAGTGTACAAATCTAGAGCCCGTGTGGTAATACCTAAATTGGTACATTTTGTGCATTGGCTGATTTTAAATATATTTTATTAATAAAATAAAGAAAAAATCTTATGAAAAATAACAAAAATGATTTTCTAGAATAACTCCAGTCAATACAATAAAAAAATCAACCCCTAACTTTAGTTTTTCTTATTTTTAAATAATTAGGCGCATGAAATCAAAAGACGTAAATCGGGAAAATTGGTCGGTAAGTATGTTAAGCAAGAAATCGGGTTCGCAATAAGCCTCCTAATCTATAGACAGATTTTTTGTTTTATTTTAGACTCCTAAAACTAGTGCCGTGTGTCCAAATGCATACGGAATAAGGACTGTGCATATAATAATACTCCGTATATATACAGCATTAGATTCACTACATTTAGTTTTCATAATCAATTAATTAGTTAATCAATCTCTCTTCTGCGGCCACGCAGTCGTCTGTCGGGCGCGACTGGTTTTTCTAGGGTTACGCGACACCATTGAATAGGGTTCCGGTTCCATACTCCCGACTGTTTCGCGCTCTCTCTCTCGCGACACGACAGGAAATTGCACAAATATACATTTTTTTTTGTTCCTCCGAGTTGGACGTGGTAACTCTTCATAAAGTTTCTTTTGATGGTCTGAGCTGGAATCTGTAGATTTGGGTGATAGATCTTGAGAAGATGGATACGTCCTTAGAGATTGAAGAGAAATTGCTGGAAGCTGGGAACAAGCTTCTAAAGCCTCCCCCGTCCGTCGAGGAACTGCTCCCTTTACTGGATGTGAGTCCTAGGTTTTCTTTTATACGGACGTAGTTTTCTTTTCTTGGCTGCCCTGATCGTTTCTGCCAGCTATACTTTTTTCTGTAGGGTTTTGCTTGAGAATGAATATTTTTTGCTATTCTAAATGTTTTTCAACTTGGTTTGTTTTTTTGATGTTTTTCATCTAATCGTTGTATGTTTCTTTAGTTTTTTACAGGATCAGTTCGGTAGTGGGATTCAATTGTCCCCCTTTAACTGTATAACTTTGTATTTACCGTGCTTATGCTCTAGGTACTAGTATGTGACTATGTGGTGCCCGGTAAGGCTATCCAACTCCCCGAGTCCCGATTGCCAATTTATGTTCTTGGTTTTGTTTGGATAAAGAGATCATCTCATTTCCTCAATGACCTATTAACACCCCAATTAATACGTAGTGAAACATTCCTATGTACGGGATGCGAAATAGCACACACATGTCTCATACAGTGACTGAGACATCCTTTGGCACTATTCGTGCGGATCAAACTCCTTCATAGGGGGAATAGCCGAGCAATGATAAATTGATAATATCCAAGTCCACCCAGGAATGAAAAGCATTACTACAATCTATTTTTTTGGGCAATTTTCAAGTTTAATTTTTATGTAGTAGTGTGTCAGATAAGGTCACAACGACTCACAAGTCTTTGTGTATCCCGGACAAAAAATAAAGGTATTTTTTGATAACTGTTTTAGGATGTTTTTACTTGGAGCAGTTTCTGTCCCAGACCAGAATAGACCTAACCAGACTTAAATGGACCAGACTTACACTGACCTTTAAAGTAACAGAATTATCATATTTGTCCATCACTGGATAATGTAATCCAAGATATTCAACATTCAAATATGATGAACCAAGGTGAGAAAATAATCCGTGCTGTAGGAGTAGAAGATATGAACAACAAAGAGATCGAAAGCAAAGGTCCAGAAAAATATAGAGGCCCAGAGGCATTACATGTTTGGGTTCAGGGGTTTTGAAAACTGTGTATTTGAATTTTATGATGTGTTTTTCTACACAATCAGAAGTTTTCATCTCATGTTGAAATAGAGAAGTTGAGAAAAACAACTATAAAAGAGGTTTTGTTTAATGGGCTGGGTAACCCGATCAGATTCAGTCTAATCCTATGGACAACTTGAATCGTGGGATTTAGTTTTTGCACCATAATGTTTTTTACTGTACTTCCTCACATATTATAGTATTTGTTCTGTTAAATGCCAACATCCTTGGCTGAGGTGAGTTTCAAACATGTGACCTCTTCCTTGGGAGTATCACAGTGATGTCATCGAACCACAAAGTATTTGGCTGCACCATGATTATTATGATGTCTTGCGATTCACTGCGATACAACTGCGTTTTGGACCCATTTCCGATTCGTTCTACTGCTAGGGTTAATTTTTGTTGCGTATTGTGATTCGTAGTGTATTAATCTCATAATACTCTCTAGACTATTAATTGTAGTGAAATTGTAGCTTACAGCCATCTGCATTGGGAATCTTTCCATTCTTTAACTTCTAGGGCTCTGAAACCCTTTTGTGCTCACCAAACATAGTAGGTATCCATATCATAATTATTTCCTTAGTCAAAGTAGCTGTTGATTCTTTAATATCTCAATTTCTGGCTCTGAAATCCGTTCTGCTCACAGCTCACCAAACATAGTAGGTATCCATATCATAATTATTTCCTTAGTCAAAATAGCTGTTGATTCTTCAATATCTCAATTTCTAAAATCTAAAATCTAAATGTTTTTTTGTAACTTCTAGTGTTCTGAAACCCGTTGTTATCCATCCAACATAGTAGGTATTCATATCATAAATATTTCTGTAGTAAAATAGCTAATGTGACCTTTGATTCTTCAACATCTCAATTTCTAAAGGCTATTATCTGCTTTTAATTTAGACACGAATATTTAACTAGTGAATAATCTAAATGTTACTCCCTCCTTCCCCTATAATTGTCCCATTTTTCCATTTTTGGATGTCCCCCTATTATTGTCCCATACCATATTTGGTAACATTTGTGTGGCTCTAATTCATTCTTACTTTATTCTCACTTTATCAACTCATTATTAACCACATAATTCTACTTTTCTTAAAAACCACATCACTCTCTTCCGTCCCAATATTAGGGGGACGGAGGGAGTACTATTTTGTAGGCTGTTCTTTGTCTAACTGTTCATTTGTCCATATCTTTAAGGAAGCTGTGTCTTTCCTCACAAAAGTGGAACAATCACCTGCTAAGTCCGTGCTTGCTGCACTTTCTCCCTTGATCAAGGCACTGGTTGAAGATGTTCTTTTGAGGCATTCCGATGTTGATGTGAAGGTTGCACTCGCGTCTTGTTTAAGTGAGATTACAAGAATTACTGCTCCAGATGCCCCATACGATGATGATAAGATGAAGGTATCAATGGTCATTGTGTTGTATTTTTAATTTTCACAATCACCATATTTTCTTTTTTATATATGCAGGCTGTCTTTGAGCTAATAGTTTCATCTTTTGAGAATTTATGCGACGAGTCAAGCAGATCATTTGTTAAGAGAGCCATGGTTCTTGAGACAGTGTGCAAGGTCCGGCTATGTGTTGTTATGTTGGATCTGGAGTGTGACGAGCTTATCTATAGGATGTTCCAGTACTTCCTTAAGACCATTAGGTAACAAAATATAACTGCTAATGCTCAAATATCTGTTGGTATCGTGCCACAAATTTCATATATTAAGACTTTTATAACATGCTTGTTTTTCATTTTTTGTTTTGGAGGAACTTTCGCTCAGGTGTGGATTATTAGTTTCAAAAATAAATCTTGATTACATCAACTGCTCATATTGGAACTATAGAATTAGAGTCATGCACATATCCACCTCAACTTCCAAATGACTAACAGAATAATAATTAAGAGATGATATCGATATACAATACACATGTGCAATATTCAATCTGCAAGTTTCAGAAACTCAGCATGCTCCTTTTATATTTTCATCTATATGCGTCTTTCAGTTGTAGAGTTCATTGGTTCCATAGCTGACAGAATGTGGACTTTGTCAAAATTTTATGACGAGACCGTGCAATTATGAGAGGACTGGATCAATGAATTACTTATAATGAATAATAAATTATAAATTGAAAGTGCAGTTAGATACCTTGATAGTGTCCTTCAGAATGCTTTAATATTTGCTTTAATGTTTATACTTATGGAAATCGAAAGGTTTCTAATTATCTGATTTTCAGAGAATATCATCCGAACAACATCTTCTCATCCATGAAATCCATCATGACTGTTGTTCTCGAAGAAAGTGAAGATATTTCCATGGATCTGGTTACTTATCTTTTGGCTAGTGTTAAAAATGAGAATGAGGTATTGTTAACTATCATGGTCATGATCTTTCCAATTTTATGTAGTTTCTTTTAACAATCCAGCTTTTTGTTCTTTCAGGAGATAAAGCCAATTGGCAAAAGGTTGGCTGAGTCTGTATTTATGCATTGTGCTGACAAGCTTAAGCCTTATGTCAGACATGCTGTGAAATCTCGGAGTTTATCACTTAATGAGTATAGTGAAGTTGTAACTTCCGTTATGAAAGGGACTCCAGTTGCTATCGAGTGTAATAATGATGTGGACCCATCGGTATGATTATCAATTTCTGAACATGCTTTACTTTAATGTATTTATTTTTTTCTTCATCATTATAACTACTTTTCTTAGTAATACCATTCACACTGTTATAGTTTGTTCCATTTCAACCAAACCAAACAAACTTGGTATATGCCACTCAAAGGTAAGGTGAGTTAAGGTGTACGCAGACCAATGGTTTTCAAAGTCATGGGAGATGTATGTGCCTCAGGGACGCAAAGTATCACTGTTGAAAAGCGCTTTCAGTACAAGAAACAACCATAATCTGAACACATAGACACTATATATTTAAGTTTCTGTTTGATTAGTTGCTTGGATCTGATTCATTGGCTCAATGAAACTTTTTCCTTTTGACTGTGCGATGCATACTTCTTTCATATTTTTGGGGCGTGATTGTGTGATTTGATGTGTTAGTACCACATGAACTGTATAGTGCAAGTGTAGTGTTGGCATGTGCATTTTTTAATTAATAGTTTGAGGTTCTTTGGTAAATTATTGTGTATGCAGAATTCTCTGCTCAGTTTTAGTGTTTCATTTGTAAATTTATACTTGATCTATACTTTTTTTGAGGCATTGTGGCTAATTATAAATCTTTCCTTTGGCATTTCAATAGTCTAAGTCCTTACATTTGTGTTCCTGAATTTCGTTGCAATAAGGTGCCTGTTTCCACCCCCCTTTTGTTGGTCATATGTTAGGCCTGGTGTGGTTTATATTGTTTTGTGATTCATCATCACCCAAATCCCTATTGTATTGGGTACTTGGCATTGATTTCTTTAATCCTGTCATGATTAATTAGTTTCTGAACCCGTAACTATCTTTGAACATCCTAATTTGACTTGTAACAGTGTGCGGAGAGCAAGTTGGCTTGTTCTGGAGGGACAGCTCAGTTAACTCAGGTACATTACTATATAATTACTTTCTTGCTCGTTGTATGTAAAAAGTTCAATGAATTTTTAACACAAGCTGGCATGTTTTAAGGCTTCCGAGTATAAAGTACCTACTGTCTCTTCAGATGAGTTGGGTCAGGTAAAGGCAATCATTTTTTAAAGAACAAGGGTGTGCTAGGTTAGTGGTTTGGAGGGGAAGGAATAGGAATGCCACGAATATGATGCTTGGCTATTGGAAACGATTCCTCTACATCGATTTCATTTCCTATTTCCTTGAAAGTTGGCAATGCTCCATTCATATCCATTCGGTTGGGGGAGGGGGGAGGTGGGGTTGAAATCATACCTATGGGCTATAATATTTCCCTTTACTGTGTCGATTCATTTCCTGTTGTCGTTCCCGTAAACAAATCAATTGTCCCCTAAATATAAAATTGATGAGTTAGGCAGTAGTTGTTGACTTGTTGCTTTCAAAAGTTTGAGAGAGGTATTTGTGCTCTTGCCAAGCACTATTCCCACTGTTTTTGCAGCATAACATACTATTGATTATGATTTTGGATTTTGATCTTTTCATTTATCAGATGGCTGAGGACACCAAAAAAGAGGCATGTTCTAAGGATGACAATCAAGTTGTGAATACATCTCCCAAGTCAGCTATGGGAAGTAATGTTAATGGAGGGAATAGCACGGACACACAATCTTTAGCAAATATGGAGGATAATGCCCCCATGGAACAGCCTGATATTTCAAGCCTGACACCTAAATCTGCCTCTGATGATTCACAGTTAAAAAACTCAGTGAAATCAGAGTTGGAGATATCTGAGCAAGTTAGTAAGGAACAAGGAAGCAAGTCTAACTCTCAAGTGAAGTTGGAAGATTCTTCATACCAGGAACCTCCAGTTGATAGTGAAAAAGTGGATGAGACGCTTCTAAGTAGTCAAATGTGTAAAAGAGATGTTCCTGGTTCCCCCGCTGAAAATTCAACTGGCGACAAAAAAGATAATGATGAAGGTATTGCCAGTTTTCCTGTGGATGACGCAACAGTTGAAGCGGCCAAACTTCTAGATGAAAATGAAACTAGTGCTGGGCATTCGTTGCCCAAAACACCTGAGGATGAAGCTGAGAATGTTACTTCCTTAGACCCTAACCATAGCTTGCCTGATGAAATAAATAAGGAGACTATTCAGGAAAAGGATGATAACTTGGTTCAGGAAGATTCTTCGTTACCTGAAGTTGCATCTAAGAAGCCATCAGGACCAAGTGATTCAGATTTACAGCCAAAAGACCTTGGTTCCAGGGTGCAGAAAGAGACTTCTCACAAGGAAGAAGCTGACGCCATGAGATGTGCAGAGGTAAAAGGCCTGAATCAGCGAGGTGAGAAGGCTAAAGCTAATGACAAAACATTTGTTTCCTTGGAGAAAAAAGATAAGCAAACTATTCAGCAAAAGGAAGTTGCTTACTCCATGACCAATGCAGAGGTGAAAGGCCAGGAACAGCGAGTTGAGAAGGCTAGAGCTAATGATAAAAAAGAATTTTGCTCGGACAAGCACACTTTTCAGCCTAAGGAGGCTGGTACTACTGAAATTCTTTCTAGGAAGCCATCTGAAGGAAGTGATTCAGAATTACAGCCACAGTACCCTGTTACAAGGCTGCAGACAGAGGCTACTCGTGAGGAAGAAGCTAGCTCCATGAGTGATGCAGAAGTGAAAGGTCTGAAACTGCAAGGTGAGAAGTCTAAAGCTAATAATAAAAAAATTGTTTCCTCAAAGAAAAAAGACAAGAGAATCATTCAGCCTAAGGAGGATGATAGCTTGGTTGAAAAAGATTCCGTGCCTGCTCAAATTGCATCTCAGAAGCCATCTGAAAAAACTAGTAATCTCAAATCACTTCCACAGGAACCTGGTACTAGGGTTCAGAAAGAGACTTCTCAAAAGGAAGAAACTGACTCCATGAGCGATACAGATGTGGAAGGCCTGAAACATCAAGTTGAGAAGGTCAAACGTAATAAGAAAAAGTTAGTTTCCTCAACGAAGAAAGACAAGAGAACTCTTCAGCCAAAGGAGGATGATAGCTTGGCTCAGGAAGAGTCCATGTTGGCTGAAATTACATCTAAGAAGGCATCTGAAGTAACAAGTGGTTCAGAATCACAGCCTAAGTCTAAAGCTAATAAGAAGATCGTTTCCTCAAAGAAAAAAGAGAAGCAAAGTACTCAGCCAAAAGAGGATGACAATTTGGTTCAGAAAGAGTCAGTGTCTGCTGAAATTGCATCTAAGAAGCTATCTGGGCGAACAAATGATTTAGAATCACAGCCACAGGATCACAGTACCGACATGCAGATAGAAACTTCTCATGAGGAAGAATCTAGCTCTATGAGTGATGTAGAAGTGAAAGGCTCAAAACGGACAGGTGCCAAGGCTAAAGCTAACAAGAGAATTGGTGCCCCTTCAAAGAAACAAGGGAATCAGGAAAATGAGAATGATAGCTTGGTCCAGGACGAGTCTGTCTCTGCTGACATTCCATCCCCGAAGCCTTCTGAAGGGACAAGTGATTCAGAATCAGAACCACAGAACCTCGGTACTAGAACGCAGAGAGAATCCTCGCATGAGGAGGAAGCAGTCTCCATGAGCGATTCGGAGTTGAAAGGGCTGAAACGGCGAGGTGTCAGGACTAAAGCAATTAAGACAACTGATGTTTCCTCAAAGAAAAATAATAAATCAAGAAGACGTCGACGTGGAAAGGCTAGTATTGAGATTGATGCGCCAAAGTCGTCTGCCAAAGATGACACCGACGTAACTTTGTTATTTGTCTTTAAATTTAATTCCAGTTATTCTATATTTTTTTTTCTGGATCCATTTAATATAACACATTGCATTTTTCATGCAGAAGGTCGTGTTTTTTGAAGAATCTCCTTTAAAGTCTGCTGAACACAATGTGAAAGAGGGAAGCCAAAGGAATAGCACAAAGAGAAAGCGCTCTTCGGGAAAAGAGAAAGTACTTATTTTCTGACTCAATTGGAATACATCTGAACTCAATACTACATGTTGCCATTGATGTTGCAACTGAGTGTCTTTTCATAAATCATAACTTGATTAGTGTTGTACTGCACATTCACTGTTCTCATAGACTTTATACTTCACTTCTTTATGATCTGAAATTCTAACCATTGATGATGGTCCAACTAAGGGCCTCATCATAACTTGATTAGTATTGCATTACACATTCATTCTTATCATAAGCTGTATTCTCTGATCAATCAATTGGTGTCTTCATCCTTTGTTTTATTGGGGGGGGGGGGGGGGGGGGGCTTTGCACTGGTTTTTAGATGCTCAAATCGCAAACCCCATTCTTTCCGTGTAGGTTTTTTATTTGTTCTCTACAAAGCTATTTGTAACAGTAGTAGTGTTTGTCAGGTACAGGGAAGTACAAAGATAACATATGGTGAAAGCCTCGTTGGTTCCAGAGTCCAAGTTTGGTGGCCTTTGGATAGTGAGTAAGTTCTGTTCATGTATCTATCATATGAAGTCGGGCATTTTTTTATGATCACCACAAGAGGTGAATAATTTCATGGGTATTGAACACGTGATCATAGTGATATTGTTGGGAATTTTTGGTGGATTGGTTGCTATGATGGGCATTCCCTCCCTGCATTGACAAAGATATTCTTACCCCAAGGATCAACAACCCAGTGGATTGTTAGCTATATGCCCACTGTAAAAATATGTTAAGACCCATCCAAGAGTAGTACTAGAGTGTACACTTTATTCTTGTAATGTGCTAACTTAGTTTGACCTATTACTACAGATATTATGAAGGACAAATAGATTCTTTTGATCGTGTTAATAAGAAGCACAAGGCACGTTCATCTTTTCCTCTTGATAGTGTGTTTGTGTTTTGCGATACTCATGACAACTTAATGATCTGTTATTTTTCTGTCTGTCAGGTTGTATACAATGATGGAGAGATAGAAGATCTGGATCTTAAAAAAGAAAAATGGCATCTTGTCAAAGAAAATTTGACAGAAAAAAAGGTGTGCATAGCTAACTCATGTATTGCTTACGTTTACCCCCCATTCAACACTAAAAATTATTCGACCATCATCTTTTGATAGGATTTGGATGAGCCTTCAAGCCCTGAAGTTTCTGCTGAAATGTGAGTGCTGTATTTTGTTTTTAGCAACTTATGTCTTTTAATATCAGACGATTCTGTCTTCGTGAAAGCGAAGCTTGAATTGGGTGCTATTTTATTACCTTTCTATTTGTGGATGTGTTCTTTAGCTGCTAGAAGTGTTTCTATGAGACCACAGACTAAATGATGATCCCTAGCTATGACTATACCTCAGAATGCTAGAAGATATGAATTCTTCAATAAACTTCATTTGGTTGGGGGGGGGGGACATGTTTGGTTTGGGGAGATAGCATAGTGAACTAGAGGACTCGTTTTTCACATCATTATTTTGAAGAGTGAATTTTACCTTTCTTTTTTCCCTTTTAAAATCTTAAATGTCTTGTTATTGTTATGGACTCCTCTGATGCCCCCATATCCCATTCCCCCTTGGTGAAGTGTAAAGATGGGGACTACACAGAATCCCTGGGTCACACATTTGGATGTTGGAGGCCGTCTGATCATGATGAGGCATCCCTTACGTTGAACTGGTTTTAACAATATTTTTAAATAGAACCCTGCCATCGCATGAAGTGACTAATTATGATGTTTTGTTTATAGTACTCACATCACACTGAGACAAAGTCTGTCATTTTTTTTGAAGCATCTGTGATTTTTGAATTTGATCTCTGTTGTGTTTTGTTCTAGAGAGAGGCAGAAGAAGAAAAAGAGTAGAGGGCTTGCTGAAACATCATCATCCAAGCATGACAAGTTTCATGTTTCACCTAAGAGGTCTCTGTTTTGTTTTTCATCTATTTTTTCTATTTGTGTTTATAAATATGTCCGAGTGTTTCAAGAAAGTACTGATTATTTTGGTGTAATGCTTTAACCAGTAGTGTGCCCAAGTTCAAAGGTTCATCTACAAAATCCGGCCATAAAACCAAAGATGACACCAATGTTAAGCCCAAGTCAAAAGATCGCCCCTCAAAATCTGTCGGCAGTAGTAAATCTAGGGAAGTGAGCGGCTACAAGTATGACTCTGATGAAGGGTCTGGTAAATTGAAAGATGTGATCAGCAGTCCCTTGAGGTCAAAATCGTCAAAATCAGATGCAACTCCCAAGACCACCACAAAACCTCAGCAAGACACCACTTCAACAATAAAAGCAACCCCCACATCGAAAGGTAAAGCCAATGGCACGACAGGCAAATCAAAGTCTACTTCCAAGGGGAAAGATAATGAGGAGGTGAAGGAAAAGATGCCTACCGAGATAATGGGGAAAACACAATCCAAGGAACAGGAAACTGAGAGCAAGAGTGGAAAGAAGAGAGGAGCATCCAAAGAAGAAGATATTGAGAGCAAGAGTGGAAAGAGGGGGGGTGCATCGAAGGAAGAAGATAATGAGAGCAAGAGTGGGAAGAAGGGGAATGCATCTAAGGAAGAAGCAGTTAAGAGCAAGAGCGGAAAGAAACGGAGGAGGAAGTAGAGAAGAGCCTATTATTAGTGTTGCCCTAATGTAATCATCTCCAGGCTGTCTCCTAGGTTCTTAGGTTGTTGGCGTGTTTCTCTTTCCTTCGGATATATTCTATTTCTTTAGAAATAATTTGTGATGCTTATTTTGGAGCTGACTAGATGTAAAACTTTTCTTTGGGGGAATCAATAGCATAGCACGATGGTTGGTTTAATTTTTAATAGTGCTGTGGACATCTGCATGTCCGGATGATGGGGGCATGGGCTTAATGTCGTTGTACTATAATTTAGAGTAGCTTGACTGGTAATGATGTTTTTGGTAAATTTAGTACTTGTACCCTGAGAATACGAATTTGGCACATTTTTAATTTAAATAATGCTTCATCTCCAGTCTCCACTTTCAATAAGAGAATTAACCATAATCAGCCATCATATAACATAGGTGTTGACGGGTCAATTTTGGTCCCCAATTCTTATGTAGTTATTATGTATAGGAATTGGTCCTGGCCGTGCTCAGGTCTAGATTTTGGGCAATTTTCATTATAGTTATTTAATACTTCCTCCTAGTGGTGGACTCGGGCCGGGCCAACCGGCCCGGAACCGGACCGGCCCACTACTGTGCGGGCCCGGACCGTCCCGGTTTGTCGGTTAGGTCACGGTTCGGGCCATCCGGCCCGGTCATGTAGCGGTTCGGGCCCGGGCTTATAATTTGGTGAACCGGCCCGGCCGGGCCCGGTCCGGGCCTCAACGGTCACAATTTTTTTTTTTTTTTTAAAATTTGAAGGCTCTACTAGCCGTCGGGAGACCTCCCAAACGGCTCTATAGCCGTTGGGAGTATAGGAGGGGGGGGGGGGGGGGGGGTCTGGGGGGTTAGGGGGGTGGGGTGGGGGTGGGGGTGGGGTATACAAAAAAAACCTATTTATACTCCTATTTTCTATACGAAGGCGGAGAGTCCGATTGATTTTTTATTACAAAATGTATTACATTTTTTAAATTCATCCTAATTCTCAATTGTACTTCTTATTTGAAATAAATATACTTCAATTCGAATATAATATATTGTAATTGTAATAAGATTTATTCTAATTATATAATAATTAAAAAAAAAATTAAATAGGCCCGGCCCGGCCCGCCGGGCGGCCCGGCCCGTGAACCGGACGGGTGACCCGAACCGAACCGGACCCGGGGTTATCCGGGCCGGTTCTGGGCCTGCCTTCCTAGAACCGAGGCCCGGCCGGGCCCAGGCCCGAACCGGGCCCGAACCGGCCCGAGTCCACTACTACTTCCTCCGTTCTTTAATTCTTGAAACATTGTGATTTTTGCACTATTCATAGATCTTATTTTGATTATGATTTTCTACTAATATACATAATCAAATTATTACATATAAAATGTTATTGAATTCCTATCAATGTGAATTTTCAAAATATCAACCTTTTATAATGTTTGCTAATACATAATTAAATATAATCACAGTCAAAGTTGTGTGTTGTCAAACGTGAAAGTTAAATTGTTGCAAGAATTAAAGAGCGGAGACTAGTATTAAGAAAAAACTATGTCTCTTGATATTAATGTAGTTATTTTCTAAATTTAATAAACTAGTATCTTTACTCGTGTCGTGCACGGGATTAAATAATTTTGTTTTTAATTTTATTATTTATGTGTTGTGCGCATTGTTAAATGTATGAGTTATCATAACTAATAGAAATCACTTTTTTAGTTGATTATAATAGGTTATAATGCATATTCTTATTTATTGAGTAGTCTTGCTTTTGAGCAAATTATCTAAACATATTCTGAGTCTATTTTCAATTAAAAGAGAATTTTGTTTACAACTCTAAGTTGCATCTAAATGAAATTAGCCTTTTCAATCATCTTTACCCTTTTCCAAAAAAAATCATCTTTACCCAAATAAAAAAATTACTCAATGCATATTTTTATCTATTAGTTCATCTGTTACTATTTTTTCAAAACTAACTACATATTTTTATAACTTATTTATTTAGTTTAATAATGGATGAATTCAGTTTCTTTTAAGATATGTGGATGACATAATGGTAGTCCGATTAACTACCATAAGATTGTTAATTGCTTTGTCAGTCATTCACAATCTTGTGATTCACCAAATGGATGTCAAAACTGCATTCTTAAATGATGAATTGGAGGAGGAGGTGAAATGAAACAACCCGAAGAGTTTGTAGTTAAAGGATAAGAAAAGAAAGTTTGTAAACTTGTCAAGTCCTTGTATGGTCTGAAACAAGCACCTAAACAATGACATCAAAGGTTTGATGAGGTGGTGCTTAAAAATGGTTTTAAAATAAACCAATCAGACAAGTGCGTCTATAGCAAATTTAATTAGCATGGTGGTGTCATTATTTGTTTATATGTGGATGACATGCTCATATTTGGCACTGATTTGAGGCAAGTGAAAGAGACAAAAGCTTTCCTCTGTTCAAATTTCTCCATGAAAGATATGGGTGAAGCGGAAGTTATCCTTGGAAGTAGGATAATAAAGCAAGGTGATACTATCACCTTAACACAATCTCACTATATAGAGAAAGTGTTGAAAAGATTTGGGAGTTTGGATTGTTCACCGGTCTCCACTCCTATGGATCCTAGTTGGAAATTAGTTCCAAATAGTGGGAATGCTGTATCACAGCTGGAATATGCTAGGGTAATTGGGTGTTTGATGTATGCAATGACTAGCACCCGACCAGATATTGCATTTGCGGTAGGCAAGTTAAGTAGATATACTAGTAACCCTAGTATATTTCATTAGCAAGCCTTGAGGCGAGTGCTGAAATATCTAAAGAAAACAATGAGCTTCGGCTTATGTTACAAGAGTGAACCCTCTATATTAGAAGGTTATACGGATGCGAGTTGGATAACTAATCAAGATGATTATTCATCCACAAGTGGATGGTTATTTCTTCTTGGAAGAGGTGCTATATCATGGACATCTAAGAAACAAACTTTTATCACGGACTCTACCATGGCTTCCGAGTTTATAGCTTTAGCATCAGCTTGTAAAGAAGCGGAATGACTAAAGGATTTAGTGTCAGAATTCCCAATATGGTCTAAACCTATGGCTCCGATACCAATCCATTGTGATAGTGCATCAACTCTGTCGAAAGCTTATAACCATGTGTACAATGGTAAGTCAAGGCACATAGGAGTGAGACACATCTATGTGCGGGAACTTATTAGTTCTGGAGTTGTTGTGATTGATTTTGTACAAATACATGTGAATTTGGCTGATCCTTTTACAAAAGCGATGCCGAGGGACATGGTGTACAAAACAGCAAAACGGACGGGGTTAAAGCCCTTAGAAAATAATCACAAGTGAAAGAAAGCCCAACTTAACATCTAGTATACAACGCTAGATCTTGAGTTCAACGACGATGAGTAATTCACTATGTGGTTGAAACACTTTTGAATAATAACCATCCTCAGGTAAGTGCTTAGATCTGCAATGAGTAATGAGGTTGACTATGTCTTAATAGATCTTTTGATAAAGTGTTTGATTGCAGAACACGGTTTGAAAATGTCTACCTATGTGAGCTAGAATGACGACCGATTCACCAAGTTTAAGGCTTTACTTGTTGGAGCTCATGAATGGATATAGACACAAGGCTGTTAATAGTGTCAAGTTTCTAAGTGAAATTGTATAGAAATTTATGTGTAATATCTTCACTATTTCAAAGAGGTTATATAGTTCAAAGCTTAGTCTACTATTATGATCCGAAATATTGTAAAGAATATTGCACTAAATGAAAGTTCAATCTTTACGACACTTTCATTATGCATAAATCTTGATAAGTGGTCTATTTGGCAAGGATTGAACATGTTTATTTTCAATAAATGGAGGAGGATTGTTGGAGATTTATTGAAGTAAAGCTCAATTGTTATACTACATGGTCTTTAATTTTATATATATAAATAAATGGTGTGATTTATTAAAATGATATTATTTTAATATAATGATTATTATATATATTATGAGAACATTTTGTGCACATGTGATCTCATAATGATTATAATAATATTATGTTACCTCTTTTACTATATGCTTATTGTATTCATTAAAGTAGTACGTACTAAATTTTTTAAAGGTTTTTGCAGCCTTGCTTGTATGGATAAGCACAACTTTAAATATTATATTGAAAGTGCATGTTAAACGATGTGTACGTTCACTTTTAGAAATGCCGCACCCTTTCTTTACCGCAATTTATATCCTGGGATCGGCGCACCATGAGGATGGTGTGCCCGATCCCAAACCGTCGTCGTTCGATTTATTAAAAAATTAGGTTGCATCTTGGGATTAATCGATCGAAGATTTCCGCAGCTCAACATTAACGGATTTTTCTCCTTACTCTGTCATCTCTTCCATACGTTTTCTAGGCTTCTTCAATGGATTTTTCTGTCGATGATTCTGTTCTTGTTGATTCTTCAATTGGATTGTGAGATACTTTTGCTTCTGATACACGCGATAACATCATTCATTCAATTGGTGACAATGATTTCGAAGTTGATCAAATGATTGATGTTGAATTGATCGGTAAGTATTAATGTTGAATTGAAGTAGTTGTGTGAATTTCGTTTATTTGTGCTTGCAGTATTCTCTGTTTTATACGTTTGCTTGAGAATTTAGATTGTATGAGTATTCATATTTGCTGATTTTACATTCAGGAGAAGAAGATACTGTTTCAAAAGCTTCTAAATTGTTATATCTTCTTAGCAGAGAGGTACTTATTCCGTCATGTATCTTCAATTGTGTTTAACTCGTGTCTCAATTTTATGTAACTTGTGTTACATGATATGTAACTTGTGTTACATGATATGTAACTTCAGTTCAATTTAATGTAATTTAGTTCCAATGTATGTAGTTGTTGTTTGTTTTTCATATATATGCTTTGTAAATTGTGAGGTTCATTGGAAACTGATCATCAGTCAACTGAGAGTAAATCACTTATTAGGCTTAGTGTCAAGTGTGAACAGGATGCTTTTAATCTTTACAATGATCATGCTTTTGAAAATGGATTTGGTATTCATAGATATAAACAGAGGTTTAGGAGTGGCAATGTAAGTTTGATTATGAAGTCTTACTGTTGTTGGAAAGAAGGGAAGAAAGAACAAAAGGGTATTGAAAACAAAATGTATACAAAGTTAGATTATCGTTCTGGTTGTAAAGCGAAGTTACAGTTTTCTATTAGTATTGATGGTGAATGGACTGTTTCAAAGCATATTATTGATCACAACCATGCTTTTTGTCCAATTGGTCAAAGACACCTGTTGAAATCACATAGAGGCATTGATCGTGAGTATCTTGAGTTTATTATGTTGATGAAGGAGAGTGTTTCAGATGTTCACAGAATGCTTCAAAAACAGGCTGGTGGTGTTAGTGCTCTTGGATTCACGAAACGTGATGCTTATAAAGTTCTAGAATCTGAAAGAAGTAAAACGTTTGATGGTACTAATTCGAACACTTTGATTGGTATATTGAAGAAAAGGGCTGAAGTGGAATCTGATTTTTTCTTTGATTTTGAGCTGCATGACGGTGTACTGAGTTGTTTTTTCTGGAGAGACGGTCAAATGAGATCCGATTATGAGAGGTTTGGAGATCTAGTTGTGCATGATACAACTTACAGGACTAACAAGTATGGCATGATCCGTGGTTCGTTTATTGGTATGAATCAGCACTCTAAAAACATAATGTTTTGTTGTGGCTTTATGCTGAACGAAAAGGTGGAGTCTTTTGTTTGGTTATTTCAGACTTTTCTGAAATCTATGGGTGGTAAACACCCCATCAGTTTCATGACAGACCAGTCATTTTCCATGGCAGCGGCTATCAAATCTGTGTTTCCTGGAGCAAGACATTGACTCTGCACTTGGCATATAGATGAAAATTCAAAGAAACACATCATGCATCTACGCAAGAAGTTAAATTTTGTTCCTCTGTTTGATTATGTTGTGAAGCGATGTGACACAGTTGCAGAGTTTGATTTCTACTGGAATGAGTAAGTTATTTGTTTTTTGATGTAACTTTTTAATTATTTGATGTAACTTGCACAATTATTTGGTGTAACATGTATGATTTTCATACGTAATCTTGTCTTCTTTTTAAATCTATTTCAGATTGAATAGAGTTTATGAATGCAGTGACAACACATGGTTGAAGAGGTTGTACAGTCATAAAGAAAAGTGGTGTCCTCCTTTTTCAAAAGATTACTTCTCTGGTGGTGTTCTATCCTCCCAAAGAAGTGAATCTACAAATAGATCCATATCTAGAAGACTACAAAGACTACAACATTATGTGCTTTTTTCAAAATGTTTTGTGATGTTGTTGACGAATGGAGGTTAGAGGAAAATGATCATGATTTTAGATGTTCTGAAGGCACCGTTGAGATTATATTGCTACAAGACAATTTGTTGTCTCATGCTAGAGATGTGTATACCCTTGAGATTTTCAAACTGTTCCAAGAACAATATTTGAAGGGTATGTCACATTTTTTTTAAATTAATCTCACAAAATTGTAATGATTATGAGTATCATGTTTGGTTGAATGAGGTAGATTTGATTAGACACAATGTTACTTTTAATCAAAATGACAACACAGTGACATGCACTTGCAAGATGTTTTCAGAAGTTGGCATTTTGTGTAGACACATTTTGCGTATATATAATGTCCATTGTGTCAAATGTATTCCCCAAGTTTATATATTGTCTAGATGGACAAAGGCTGCCATTCTGCCAAATGTTAATCTTTCTCTTACTCAAGGAACCGATATTATGTTTGGGAAAATATTGGAAGATTCTGTTTGGAGAGTGCAAATGACTAGGAAATTCAACACAGTATTGGGTGCAAGTGCTGGTTTTCCTGAAGCTAGGCGAGTATGTGAGCAAGGATACGAGTCTATTAAACATTTTTTAGATATTCAACGAAATGCTTCTGTCGTGGATGAATCTGCTTCAAGGACAATATTGGATCCTCCACGCTCTCGTCCTAAAGGTCAGCGAAATACCCGAAAGAGAAGTACTGTTGAAAAACAGTGCAAAATAGTCAAAGCTCGCCGTTCCAAATCACAAAATGTTGCCTGCAATTCAAAATCAGTTGCTCAATCTGTTGTACAGGTATTCGTTTATTTTTTATATTTTTTATATATTTTATGCATCTTTTCTGATCATTACTTTTTTTTTTGGTTTCATTCTAGGACACTGTTAATTTCATGGTTCCACAAGGTTATCTTGTTCATCTAGTTGGAGGAATGACGCCCTTCATGCATGTGCTTGGATCTCCACAAGTTTTTGCTCCATACTTCATGCAATCGAATGTTGTGAACCAAATGCAGAATTAGTTATAGAGATACACATGTTTGGCATTTGTTGTTTTTTTATTGTACAAGTTGAAGAGTTTACATATATTATTGTGGGTTATTACATTTGTAGCAACCAAAGTTACATTTGATTTAATGGAATTTATATTGTCTTTACTGTTCGTTTACAGATGTCAAAGAGCACTACTATAAAAACAATACACAATCAATATTGTTTACTCTGAACTACAGAATAGTGAACACAATCACTATTGTGTAACAGTTGTTACACTCTTTTTGCCTTGAGTTACATGGTCCTGTAACGTGAATTACATTTCATGTAGTCATTGTTTACATAAGATGTATATTACATGTATACCTAATGGATTTGAATGAGGTTAATATATTAGCCTATAACATTTCACTCCTACATAAGTTATATATATAAGTGTGTGTGTGTGTGTGTCTGCATAAAACATATATAAAGAGTTTACATCAAATTATCATAAACCAAACAAGTAAGTTGCATTTTACATCATAATATCTTAAACCAAACATATAAGTTGTCCATTGCATCACCAACTACTACATAAAACCAACAAATGTTTCAAGTTTATCCATACCATCACCCCCTCCATAAAACCAGCAATTATTTTTTACAGTAATCCTACCAGATTAATCAATTACATCTTAAGGTACTCCTTTGCTTTTTTTACAACATATTCTCTTTCACTATTAAATTTAGACAGTAATACTTGAGCTGCATACATCAATCTCATCTTCTGAATGGTTTCATTTTGAGCTTTGATTCCGTCATTTGTAGCAGCAGGTGCAAAGCCAGAATCCCATGTGTGTCCTTGGCCACGATATGTCTCCAAGTGGCGCAAAACAAATATTCTACAGTCAACATTATTGTCATTATGTCTCCATGGCATAAATAACATTCTGGGAATCCAATTTCTGGGCTTTCCATATGAGATCTTCACTTTCTCACAAAAGACTTTGAATCCATCACCCTATACAAGAAGTTACATTAATGGACTAAAATAATATTGAATAATATCATTTGTTATTTCCAGAAAAGTTGTACCGAATTTTTACCATTTTCTTAAAAGTTTCGCCATATTTGTCCTCAAAGATCACCCCGTCTGGAAGTACGCGGTTGTCAATCACATCAACAATGTTGGTTTTTGTGTAAAAACAGTAGATATAATAGTGCCCAGATTTGTGTATTGGAAACATTATCTGCAATATACATGAGTCATAAGCATTTCATCTTTCACACTGACATCAGTTACATAAGCCAAAACAGAATGTACATACTTCATATCAGGACTTGCATCCCTCAACACCTGCAGTTACATATTATTTTACACCACTTGTTTTAACTATATTGTTAAAACAATATATCTTACATACTGGCTTACATAAAACAATACAGAGTTTACATAATTCATATCAAAACTTACACTATTCAACAGTTGCAGTTACATAATCATATATTTAAACCATAAACACTTGAACTATGTATATTCAAATATTAATGACATTTTACCATATCAAATGTTGTGATATCTGCTCCTGCTTCATTGAGTTCTTTTTCCAATCTATCAACCACATTTTCGTTTGGTCACCAGATGCAAAATCGAACATTGCCTGCACATTGAAATTGAGTCAATCCAATCAAAATATAGTAACTGAAGTTCTCTGCATTATTTTACAAATTTACAAGAAAAAACTATACATACATATACTTGGGTTGTCGCTATGAAGGCGCACTTTGTAGTCTTATTTGATTTTTCTCTGTCATTCAGAATCTTTGCAAATGCATCAATGATCGAGTTGTCTATATCTTCTTCTTGAAGGGTTTGAAACTCCTCATGCGTGATAAAAACACCTCCCTCATCTTGATAGACACAGTCACTAGCACAATAATATTTTTCAAACAAATTGAAACAGTTAATTATGAGATAATGTTTCTATTGAAATAATACATTATATAATATTGGACTTTCTTACTTTTCAACTTCTTTTGACATGCCATAGTTAAGAACAATCTTTTCATCCCTGCTCATTTCCTTGCACAGCCTTCTGTTGTTCTTGAGAAATGGCGATCTGTAATTCACACTTACATCACCTAACTTTTTAAGCTTCCTCTTTCTTGTGTATGGCTTTAGCTCAACATTCCTTTGAAAAAACAACAAAATGTTAACTTCATTAAGTTAATTAAACACATTAATGAATTACATAATAAACAATTAACACTTACTCTTGTTTATTTTCAACTTCTTTGTTTAATTCTTCACCTGCAGCAATTTTGTTTTCTCCAGCTACCCCAACCTCTTCATTATCTTCTCCAGTAGCAGCACTTTGGTTTATTAGATCACCAGCAGTTTGAATTACCACATCTTCTACATCAGGAGCAGTTTCAATCATCACATGTTCTACATTAGCAACATTTTCAGTCATCACAGCTTCCACATCAGCAGCAGTTTCAGTCATCATAGCATTTTGGTCCACTTTTGAAGTGCTTGCACCCTGAGTCATGTTAAACTCAATGCCTAAATCAAATGAAGGCATTGGAAATTTCAGAAATGCCGCTTTCTCCAGTTTCTCAATCGCTTCCATAACTCCGGGCTCATAAAAAAATCATCATCTTCTTCAAGTACACACTTCTCTGATAATCTTTCTTTCTGAGCCATGTTCTGATCTCCATTTGCTTGATTAATAAAGTAATCACAAGTTGTCAAATATATCTTCTTCAATATATCAGAATTTGGGAACTTCTTAGAAATGGTTGACGGTAGCTTGGAAAACTCAACAAATGCATCACTGAATTTTTGGGCGACTGCCACAATTTCCTTCACACACTCCTATAAAAATTAAAAATAAACTAGAAATTGTCATATCACATACATTGTAATACAGTGGAATCATCATTCAGAACTTTACATTCCACAACACCTTAGTTTACTTTTTGATAGGCAAGACTTACATGTCATAATAAAATAGTTAACATCATTTGACTCAGACAACTACATTTTACATCTTATACCAATAGAAGTTACATTTTAAACATCATGTGTTACATATTTTTGAGCACAATTTACATTATGTAAAATTCAGAAATCTAAACTCTTCAAGTACTTGATGTAAATGACTAATAAAACTTACTTCCTTTGTCAACAGCTCATCTCCTTTCTGTTCAGTTTCTTCTTCTACAGGCATGATTCTGGGCTTCACCTTGCCAAGTCCAAATCCCAGCTTCCTCTCATCTTTCACTCTTTTATCAATTCTATCTTTGGTCCAGAATTTTATTGTAGGAAAAACATTGTCCAAAACCTGTCCTTTGAATTGCACCCTATCAAAGTAACAAATCATTAGAAACAATAAAGGTCCAGTAAACATTCTTGATGGATAGGCCTGCCATTCTTCTCCAGCATCCATGAGTGACTGTCTTGTGTATTTACACCAGTTCAGATTTTTGATTTCACCACCATTTACTAAAGAAAGCAAGATCTTGAAGTTGCCGTTCACACTCTGGTTGCCTCTTATCAAACAAGAGACTGTGAAGACAACAAAATTCCTGATGAACTTATCTCCATCATCATCATCCTGAAGGATTTTTTCTATCATTGATGTTGTTTGTGGGTTGCCTTTCTCAATGCCCCACTCTGCTCTCCATTCTTTCAGCAGCTCAGTGTAGTCTTCTGTTTCATTCTTTCCATTTGCTTCGACAACATCTTTCTCTCCTTTGGGCAAGCCAAACACAACTTTAACATCATCTTCTTCAATATCTAAGAACTCTCCAGTTGTAAGCTTGAGTTGTGCAGATATTGGTCTCAGGTTTTCCAGTAGAAATTGAACAAAGTCTCCATGGAACTTATCAAAGCTCAGGTGTAGCAAAGATCCAAATCCTATTTTCTGAACAATTGTCTTCTGTTTTTCACTTAATCCTTTGATTAGCCTTACAAATGGAGCAGGTCCAACTCTAGTCCTCAAATTTATTGAAGCACCCGCAGCAGCAGCAGAAATGTTCTCCATTATTTCCCTTCCAGACTCTTCTTCTATTTCTTGTATAGCATGCGTCTTCCTTTGTAGCGTAATGCGTGCACTTGTTGTTGGATTTTCTTCTATTATCATTTGTATAGGTGGTGGTTGTTCTTTTGGTGGAATATTATCATCAGAGTTACCCCTGTCAGTAATTAATTTGTATATGATGCATATCAGTAATTACATTATTCTTACAGAGCATTTTGTAGAACAATTATACTTACATATTGACATGCATACTTTACTTAATTCATAGCAGTATTTACATCAATTAAGCACAAAAATTGAGTATTTTGTTTCACAATTCCAGTAGTTATATAAGTTTTAAGCATTGAAACTCAGGAATTCCAATAAAAATTGCAGTTACATCTTAACATACACAATTTACACAATTCATAGCAGTAGTTACATTAGTAATTACATCATTCTTACAGAGCATTTTGTACACAAATTGAGCATGTTGTTGAAATAAACCAGTTATATCTTAACATACACAGTTTAGTTGATTCTACCAGTACTTACATATGTTTTCGTAACATTATTTACATCATTTAAGCACAGAAATTGAGCATTTTGTTTCACAATTCCAGTAGTTATATAAGTTTTAAGCATTGAAACTCAGGAATTCCAACAAAAATTGCAGTTACATCTTAACATACACAATTTACATAATTCATAGCAGTAATTACATCAGTAATTACATCATTCTTATAGAGCATTTTGATCACAAATTGAGCATCTTGTTGAAATAAACCAGTTATATCTTAACATACACAGTTTACTTGATTCATACCAGTACTTACATATGTTTTCGTAGCAGTATTTACATCATTTAAGTACAGAAATTGAGCATTTTGTTTCACAATTCCAGTAGTTATATAAGTTTCAAGCATTGAAACTCAGAAATTCCAACAAAAATTGCAGTTACATTTTAACATACACAATTTACATAATTCATAGCAGTAGTTACATCAGTAATTACATCATTCTTACAGAGCATTTTGTACACAAATTGAACATGTTGTTGCAATAAACCAGTTATATCTTAACATACACAATTTACTTGATTCTACCAGTGTTACATATGTTTTCGTAGCAGTATTTACATCATTAAAGCACAGAAATTGAGCATTTTGTTTCACAATTCCAGTAGTTATATAAGTTTTAACCATTGAAACTCAGGAATTCCAACAAAAATTGCAGTTACATCTTAACATACACAATTTACATAATTCATAGCAGTAGTTACATCAGTAATTAAATCATTCTTACAGAGCATTTTGAACACAAATTGAGCATCTTGTTGAAATAAACCAGTTATATCTTAACATACACAGTTTACTTGATTCATACTAGTACTTACATATGTTTTCGTAGCAGTATTTACATCATTTAAGCACAGAAAGTGAGCATTTTGTTTCACAATTCCAGTAGTTATATAAGTTTTAAGCATTGAAACTCAGGAATTCAAACAAAAATTGCAGTTACATCTTAACATACACAATTTACATAATTCATAGCTGTAGTTACATCAGTAATTACATCATTCTTACAGAGCATTTTGAACACAAATTGAGCATCTTGTTGAAATAAACCAGTTATATCTTAACATACACAGTTTACTTGATTCATACCAGTACTTACATACATTTTAACGATTTTTAACAATAATTGCAATTACATCTCTTAATATACAGTACGTTGAAACTCAAAATTTGTAACAACAATTGAAGTTAGATCTTAACATACACACTGTGCATGTTCAAATTGACATCTCAATAAGACATAAATCACATTCTATACCTCTGAAGTGATTTGTGTCTAGCCCTAGTCATTGTGTCGATCTGCAGAACCTTGTTCTTTGTTCGGATTCCTTACTTTTTCGTTGGACGGAATGCTTTCTTTTCCTCTCGCAAGTGGATGTACTTCATCAATGAAATTTTGTTGAGATTTTTTCCGATGAAACTTCGAAGAGAGAAATGGTGGAGAAAGTTTCTCGCAAATGTTTTTTCTGAATTTGAAAAGACACGATTGAAGAATCTGGGGGGAAGTGAAGCGAATAACTGCTCGAGAAAGAAAAAACGCACCGCTAAGAGAGCCGTTTACTGGTTTGCGCATTTTTAGATTAAATAAAGTCAACGGTGTCGTTTTGGGGGCAGGTGCAGGATACTCATGGTGGGCCGGTACCACCAGATATGAACTGTTTCTTTACGGATGGCTTTATCGCCATTCATCAGGCAGTTGAAATGGAGATAACCTCCTATCAAGAGTATCATTTATCTATAAATACGAGGATCATGTTGAATTGAGATTGACGGAAAATTTTTCCGAGTGTATCATCTCGTATTGCCACACTTTATTATTTATATCTGCAATATTCGTATTAGAGTTTTAGACCACTTTATATACAAATCACTTGTTAAGTGTAAATTTTTCAATAACTAAAATACACTTGTACACCTTCTTTTTATCCCAAAAGTTTTATCTTGTAAATCGGTTACTGTGATAAAGGTAGATAGTAAACTTTTAGGAAAACGTATGTATTTATACGTGACTAGAAGTGATATCAGGTCTAATCATATTTTTCACACCCTTATATTATATTATCCTCAGTTCTTTTTTAGTTGCAACATTCCCTTTTTCACGTTTAACAATGCACAACTTTAACTATCATTATATTTAATTCTCTATTAGTAAAAAAAATTTAAAAATCAAATTTATTCAACTTTATAATGAGATGAATAACACTATTTTCAAAAAAATAATAATTCACGTACGGAGTACTATTTATATTCTCGGGATCTAACAGTTTCTACCTAAAAATCCGTACAACCTGCCTTTATCGCCCATCGAGTAGCTTCAACAATGGAAAGCAACTCAGCCTCCAAGCTGGACGAAGCTGACAACGGAAATGAAGTCGCTGCAACCATCTAGCCAGTATGATTTCGTAAAATCGCTCCACCGCCGGATTTATGAGGTATGTAAGTCGCATCTGTTCAATTTCAGTCTGTTTTGTGGTCTTAACCATCTGATTGCTTTAATTATCGTCCCTGTGAGCTTGAAATTTCTTGGAATTAGGTTTTCCTCATATAAAACTTCACCCACCGTTCTCAACTTCATTCTTGATAGGCTTGCAACCTAGTCCTGACTCCTGAGTAAAAAGCGTAACTTGAAAAATGATATTCTCTGCAGTACGTATATATCTACCATTACCCCAAACGAGATTAGTATAAGCTTTCAACACATGCCAGCTAATAATACCTGGCAAGTTGTGCTTGAAAATATCTGTTAGTTTTCTACTACCAGCTTTAAACCACCACCTCATAAAAACCTGACGTATTGAACTCATAGGATTCTGGTGAGGAATTCCCAAGATTCCCATAAAATAAGACCAAACTGGTCTGACAATATCACATATGAAGAGAACATAATCCATTGAATCTTCTTGTCGTCTACACAATGGACACATAGAGGGATTTAGAACTCTTGTAAACCTTGTTAGTTTGTCTGTGAATGGTAAGATCCCTTGAAGAATCTTCCATTGCATTAATTTGTTTTTCAAAATCTGTTTTGGGTGCCAAGCAATAGCATGTGTGAAAGAGAATGAGCTTGGAAGTTCTTCTCTCACCACTGCATAAGCAGACTTTAGTGAGAAGATACCATTATCTTCTAGCATCCAGATTGCATCACCTTCCTGAGTAAAGTCACAATTGATAGAAACAATAAGATGAATGGCACAAATTCTTCTCCATATAGGAGAATCTGAAACTTTAGGAACCATATTCATACCTCTGGGATATCTTGCTTTAATGAAATCTGTCCAAAGAGACTCACCTTTTTGCCATTTCCACCATAACTTAATAGAGTATGCCTTTTCCAAATGCTTCAGTAATCTGAGTCCTAAACCCCCCTCCTCAGTAGGGTGACAGAGTGTAGACCATTTTAACCAATGATAATGTTTGGCCTTGTTTGTGGACCCCCAGAAGAAAGAAGACATCCTACTTTCCAGAATAGAAATGACTTTTTTAGGGAGATTATCAGCTGCCAAAATGTGCAATGGGATTGCACGTAAGACATGCTTTATTAAGATCAGCCTCCCAGCCTGGCTTAAGTTCTTGCATTTCCATGGAGTAGGTTTAGAATCAAACTTTGCAATTATATCATCACAATAAAGATACCTGTTGATGCCTTTATGTAACTTGAGGAAAGCACTCTTCCCAGGTATCTGAGAGGAAGGTTGGAGGCATGCATACCCAGAATTCTTTGAATGTTTCTACTTCTTGGTCTGCCAGGTTTTCCACAGATGAAAGTACTCTTATTCAGATTGACAATCTGTCCAGAAGCATTTTGGTATGAATTCACAAAATCTTTAAACTTGTACCAGTTTCTAGCTTCTCCATTAAGAAATATTAAAAGATCATCTGCATATCCTAAGTGAGAAATAATAGCCCAGCCTGCCCAACCAATATGGTTTAATAACACCATTTTCCATCTTCCATTTCAGCCCTCTTGAAAAAGCTTCTGAAGCTAATATAAATAGAAAGGGAGACAAGGGACCCCCCCTGCTTGACTCCCTTTTTAGGTTTTAAAAAATCTTGGGGAACCCCATTAACAAGAACAGATAAGAAAGGTGCCTCCAAATTATTAATCACTATCTGAATAAAATTCTGAGCAAAACCAAATCTTTTCAGTACTTCCTTAAGAAAAATCCAAAATAACATATCAAAAGCTTTGGCCATATCAAGCTTTATGATTACATTAGACCCCCTAACCTTTTTGTCAATTGCATACACCATTTTTTGAGCAATAAGGACTTGATCAGCAATATCCCTGTGCTTCATAAAACCTGTCTGCTCTACAGATATAAGCCTGGGCAGAATTTTGATTAATCTGGCAGTGACAACTTTAGTACAAACTTTATTAATAAAGTTTGATATACAGATAGGTCTAAAATCAGAAAAAGTCTCAGGATTATCCACTTTAGGAATCAAGGCAATCCGACTACTAGCTATGCCTTTAGGGATAGGAAACCCAAAAAATATTCCTGTACAGCTCTAACAACATCAGGGCCCACAATCCCCCATCATTTTTTATAGAATTTACCATTGAAACCATCAGGGCCTGACGCACCATTTTGGTTTAAGTCCCATACTGCATCTTTAATTTCATCCTCCATATGCATCTGCATAAGCCTCTGGTTATCCTCATTGTCAACAATTGTAGGAATGAAATGCAGGATGTCCTCTGGGTGAATCTGAGGTTCCACAGAGTATAAAGAAGAGAAGTAATCAACTGCAGCTTCACCAATCTCTGGTAAGGAAGAAACAAGATGTCCATCTTGGTTATATATTGATGTGATCTGTTGTTTCTTATGTCTTACTCTAGCAAAGGAGGGAAAGAAATGTGAATTAGAATCCCCCTCTTTTAACCACTGAATATGAGATTTTTGTTTCCAGAATATTCTCTCCAACTTGTATTTTGATTTAAGCAAGGCTTTAAAGTGAAACCATTGTTCCCTATTAATTTCACTAGGATCTGCCTCAAAATCCATCTCTGCTTGTTGAACCTTCTTCTCAAATAGTTTAATGTCATCAAAGAGATTCCCAAAAACATTCTTGTTCCATTCCTGTAGGTCCTGCTTCAGATTCTTAAGATTACAGAATAAACCATGCATTCCCCCTCCAAAAGATTTAGCATGCCAACTTTTATTAACAGTGTCCATAAAATTGGGATGAGATAGCCAAATGTTCTGAAACTTAAAAGATTTAGGACCACTGGGAAGATTCTTAGTGCATTGAATTAACAATGGACTATGATCAGAAGGTGTTTTTTCTAACACATTAATCTGAATAGAAGCAAACCGGTCCACAAACTTGAAATTGACCAAACACCTATCCAACCTCCTCCAAACCCTTCCATTAGCCCTCATGCCAGTCCAGGTAAACTGTGGCCCTTGAAAAGGTAGATCAATTAGATCACAAGCTGATATACAATCTGAAAAAATCCATAATGCTAGGCGGGTGTGGAATATCTACTCCTTTGTGCTCACTATGTTTTGCAATTGCATTGAAATCCCCCTACTAACCAAGGTTCCTGCATAGTATTAGCAATGTCTGACAAGAAGTTCCACATCTGTTTTCTCAGATCAGGATTATGTTTCCCATATATAGCAGTTATCAAACCTGAAAATTCATCTCCTTTTACATGAAAATGGACTAACTGATTGTGCATTATTTGTACCAGATAACCCTAGATAAAGAAAAGACCTCTGGATCCCAAAAAATCCAGATCTTATTAATGGGAGAGAAAAGCACCTTTTGAAAACCCAACTCCATCATAAAATAATTAGCTCTAAAACAATCAACAATAGGTTCAATAATACACAATAAGCTCACTTTCCACCGTCTTATTAAGGAACGAAGTCTGGGGCATGAAGCTTCCAGACCTCTTGCATTCCATATAAGTCAATTCTTCATACACAGGAGATAAAGTTGTGGACAGCGCTGTCTGGTGATGTGAGAATCCCCATAAGCTGAATCATCAATCACAGACTTCTTTTTTGCAGCATTTCTAGTTAATCTAGGAATAGTTTTAAGTTGAGTTTTTTGCTTGTTTCTTTTCCCATTAACCTTGATGAAGCCCTCTGCATCCCCCTCATTATATTCAGTGTTTTCTTTTGCCTCCTCTACTGAATCAGGTTGCTGCCTTGCTTCTGTAATAGCAATTTTTTTTGCCATAATTTCCACCTTTGAATTGATTTCTGACCATCCCTTTTTCCAATTTTGCAGTGGTGTAAGCCTTCTTTTGGCTTCTCCATCCGAGAAGCACATTTTTTATTCAAACTCAGGATCCAAATCCAACTGCTTGTGAAGAGACTGAAGTTGAGTATCATCTTTGATCAACCTATCTTTGTCAATTGCAGAAATATGTAACCCTGGTATCTCAGAGTAATAGATCATGCAACCTTATATCTTTTGCAGGATCATATGTCACTGGTGGCTCCGCCGTATCCAAGAAAATCTCCTAACCATCAGAAGAATCATCATTTGTAATAATGGCATTAGAAGTAGATTGTATATTGTTAAGTGAAACCACTTCTGTATTAATACCTTTACCTTTCTACTCTGCTGTAAATTTTTCATTTTTGTCATGTGCATCCTTAGGCTTAAGAACCCATCTATCCTTGGGCAAAGTAATTGCCATAGTCAAGTCAGGGTTACGTTTAGGACACTTGGCAACAGAATGACCCAAATGCAAACAATGATTACAGTACTCTGGCTTTTGCTCATAGATCACGTGGCATCTCTTTGGTGAGATCCAATTCAACACACACGAGCTACTGACGGCCTAGATAGGGTAGCAGTTGCGGAATCAATCTTTAGTGGTCGTCCAATTAATCATGCAATATCAAATAGTGCCCTTTTGTCATGTAAGGATGTTTTTACTTGGACTGTAATTCCTCTCAGACCAGTTTTGACTAGATCAGACTTGGATAGTTATAAAAATACAAAGAAACTAGACCAGTTCAGAGGGAATCAGAGCAGACTAGACCATCAAATTACAGTCTAAATAAAAACATTCTAAATTCAAGGCCTCAAGGGTAGACCTTTGAGAAAGTCAACCAACCAGGAACTACAGGCAACTCCACATTAGGGTGAAATTTTGGAGTCCATTTTGCAACTCTCATCACACAACCCTAAATTGACCAACTTTGTCTGTTCCAACATCCGAAGTAATCCTCCTCCAAATCGAATCTGATAAAACATGCTTCCTCTTCAAAACACCTATATGAAAACCCTTAAACCCTATTATTTCAATGGCCTTGGGTATATTAGTCAAACTTGGCCTGCCATGGTAGAAGTAACCAATAAGCGATATTTTATGCCTTTCCGTCAGTATTTGTATGTCGTTATCAATAAAATTGATAGTCAGCATACCTTTGTGTCGAGAGTAATGTATGACAGAAAGGGTTGTTGATGATCTATTTGCCACCACATTGGCAAAAGATTTACCCCAAACACCTCCTGGCGGTGGACGGTGGCTGTGCTGCCGAAGAAGAAGGATCTGATGTCATTCACGCGTGATCGTACTCCAATCCTTCGGCTTAACCTGGATACATGTTCCCCAATTACAAACTACCCCTAAAGTTGGGGTAATACTATACTACCTCCGTCCCTTAAAACTTTGCCAAAGTTGACCGGCACGGAGAATAATAAAGTAAAAACTGTGTGGTTGATGTTTGTGCAGAGGAGAGAGAAATAACAGAAACCACAAAATAATTGATTAAAAGTAGGAGTGGACTCGGGCCGGTTCGGGCCTGGGCCCGGCCGGGCCTCGGTTCAAGAAGGGGAGGCCCGGAACCGGCCCGGGTAAACCCCGGGTCCGGGCCGGGCCTCGGGTATTTTTTTTTTTGGGGTTTTTCCTAGTTAACCCCCCCACCCCTCCCCCTCACCCCCAAACCAACCCTAACCACCTCAAATGGCCCAAAATAACCAGCCCAACCCAAAAACTCAAAAAAAATTTAAAAAAAAATTAAAATTGGCCCGGCCCGGGCCCGAACCGGCCGGGCCAGGCCGGTTCACCTTTTGAAGGGCCTGAGCCCGAACCGAGAATCCACCGGGCCGGGTGGCCCGAACCGCCCAACGAACCGGTTCCCGGGCCGGTCCGGGCCCGCACAGTGGCGGGCCGGTCCGGTTCCGGGCCGGTTGGCCCGGCCCGAGTCCACCCCTAATTAAAAGGGAAAGTGACAAAGTTTTTTGGGACGTCCCAAAAAGGAAAGATGGCAAAGTTTTAAGGGACGGAGGGAGTATATTTTACAATGAAAGTTTAGAATGTTAATTGTATCTTCTTGAATGCTAAAATATTTTAAATTATGAAATTAACACAAAAATTAACATTTCTGAAACAAATAATACACAACCATGATGCAAAAATAACTTTTTATATAGTCTGAGGTATTTAATCACATATGCAAGTTTGGGGTTGATGGAGTTTAATCCAACTACGAGAGCTAAATTTAACAAGATATCGAAATATGGCAGCGTAAGACAGTATTATTATTATTTGGAACAATGATTTTCGATCCCCCCTTAGGGTATTTACAGGGAGTATTTAGAGACTTAGGAGTTAGTATTCTAGGAGGAAACTACTACATTAAATGCCATTAATTATGGCGCATATATTAGTTCGATTAGAACTCCTGTGGCGTCTCGATCATCATGCAATGATTATCTTCTTCAAGCCTACGTCTCCCGTTGAGTCCTGCCTGCTGCCAAATAGCTTATGTTCAAATCATAGTCTGCCACATAAACCCTAGGAATATCTTGGGCTCACTAGGACTCCGCCCAGGCTTGAGGCCTGCTTGTCCGGCTCGGCCTGGTTGTGGGTTCCTCTCGTGGGCTTGATCCCTAATCAGACCTACTGCTTTATTTAATTAATATGAACTCTGTTAAGGGCTGATCCTGTTATGGGCTAGACTACGTAATCGGGCCATGGTCAGAATCTATGATACCATCACGAGCCCCCTACTCTCTAAAATTAGCAGAGCCGGATTTTGGGAGAGTAAGTTGAGCGGTTTAATCAGTTTCAAATTTCAAATCTTCTTTGGTGGACTGTAGCGCCACTTCGCATAAAATGCGGGCAACACGTGCCTGGTACGAGCCCTCAGCCCGGCACAACTCCCAATCCACCTCTCTACCTTCCGTACTCAAGTGCTATGATCGCGAATTCCAAGCGGTCCCCTAGCCCTAATTTCTTGGTTATTTAAATTCCTATCGTCCTCCATAAAGTTCTTCTGCAATCTCATTTGTTTGGGCCTTCGTCTTCTTGGTCAGGAACCCTAAGCCGCGAAACTCCCTCATTCTGCCTTCAACTTTCATCAGGTTAGTCCTCCCGATGTCTTCTTCAAGTTCCGTTCGCACCATGTGTTTCCTGATGAAGGGGCTACACTGAGTCGGCCCCGATTTCCGGTGGACCCGGATGGGAGGGAAACCCATTTCTTTCTTTCATGCGAACACGCCCGACAAGTCTCGGCCGTGGTTCTTTCCGACGCCAAGTTTGGTGAGGCGGTGGCCCTTACGGGCCCCAGCGTCGTTTCCTCCCGCCCTCCTTCCCCTTTTCATTTTGGGGTTCATTTAGCCAGTTTAAAGTAGGTCTTCGCTTTCCGTTACATAATGCCCATTTGAACGTCATGAATTATTATGGCGTGATTCTGGGTCAGTTCTCCCCAACTACTCACATGTTCATCGCTGGGTTCATCGCGCGATGCATTCACCTGCAAATTCACCCCGTCATCGATCTTTTCCTCCATTTTTTCCACTCCGTGAGACCCGGCGCTTTTGAATCCTCGTGTTATCTTTCAATTTCTCAATGGGCTGGCCACCGTTTGTTTGAAGCTAAATCCTACCCCGATTCCTTCAAGGGTTGGAGGCTCAAATGGGTTTGGGTTACTCCCACGAATGGGAAACTCTAGTTTGAGAACAGATGGGGGGAATTAATCCGGAAATGGGTAATGCCATTCTTGTCGAAGGGAAACGCTGAAGCTGCTAAAATGATTGCTGATGGGGCATCCTTCTTGATGGGGCATTACGTAGGTGAGAATGGAGTAGTGATGCTTTCATATTTGCCAGGTCGATTACACCCCATTTGGCATTTTGTTTACTTTATTACACGTCCCGTCACATTAATACTCTCTTTCTCTTGATGACACGCCAAGTTTGGTGAGGCGGTGGCCCTTACGGGCCCCAACGTCGTTTCCTCCCACCCTCCTTCCCCTTTTCATTTTGGGGTTCATTTAGCCAGTTTAAAGTAGGTCTTCGCTTTCCGTTACATAATGCCCATTTGAACGTCATGAATTATTATGGCGTGATTCTGGGTCAGTTCTCCCCAACCACTCACATGTTTATCGCTGGGTTCATCGCGCGATGCATTCACCTGCAAATTCACCCCGTCATCGATCTTTTCCTCCATTTTTTCCACTCCGTGAGACCCGACGCTTTTGAATCCCCGAGTTATCTTTCAATTTCTCAATGGGCTGGCCACCGTTTGTTTGAAGCTAAATCCTACCTGATTCCTTCAAGGGTTGGAGGCTCAAATGGGTTTGGGTTACTCCCACAAATGGGAAACTCCAGTTTGAGAACAGATGGGGGGAATTAATCCGAAAATGGGTAATGCCATTCTTGTCGGAGGGAAACGCTGAAGCTGCTAAAATGATTGCTGATGGGGCATCCTTCTTGATGGGGCATTACGTAGGTGAGGATGGAGTAGTGATGCTTTCATATTTGCCATGTCGATTACACCCCATTTGGCATTTTGTTTACTTTATTACACGTCCCGTCACATTAATACTCTCTTTCTCTTGATGCAGCGAGCGATAAGATGGCCTCCCGGTTGGAACAACTCGCTGCCAAGGCTGGCTCCACCCCCGGTTCCCTGGTTCCTCTGAGGAAGATCCAAACCAGGGGAACCGTTGGGGCTGCCTCAGCGAAGTGAGGGGATCCACCCTTGGAGACAATGCTGAGACTTTGAATTCGCTGGCCGTTAACCTTCAGTCCCCCACTGACAAGGGGGTTGGGAAGAGGCTGGCACTCCGGCCCGTCTCTGGGCCCAAGAAGAAAGAAAAGACTGCCTTTAAGTCTACTGAGGATGTAGTTGATGTCGATTCTGACTCGGACGCCTAGTCCCAGGAAGGTGGCAATCAGGGGAGGGCCCCGACACCTATCCATACCGTCCGCCTCTCCATGAAGTTGGGCTCCACCTCTCTGTTCCGTCGCACTGTGAACCCTATGTCCTTGGGCTTAGCTATCCCCCCCGCCGATGTTGAGGAGGTGAAGGGTTTATCTTCCGGACTGCAGTTCGGCGGGCTGTCCATGCCATCTCTGAGGTACGTACCTTTATCTGAATCTTCTGTGACAGATGCTCCCTCTAGGATGGGAAGTGTAATCCCTTACCTGTAAGATTCTTCCATTTTTAGGCTTTTATCCTTGCATGTTCTGGCTCCCACCGCTTAGATGAGGGTCACGACGATTCCCAGGACTTGGTTGCCGATCTGAGGAACCAGGTGGCCGACCTGGAACAAAGGCTGGCAGCGGTGGAGATGGGACGCGTGACAGCGATGAAGGAGGTTGGTTCACTGCAGAAGAGGCTTGATGTCGTGGAGGCCGCACATCAGATCATGGAGGGGGAGCTAAGAAAGAAAGCCGAGGAGGCCGGTCCAGCTGTTGTTCATGCCTTCCGGGAGGGTGCAGAATTCCTGGCTGAAGTGGAGCAGATCATCCTGAGCCATGGGACACAGATAGCCTAGGACTAGCTCCATACTCCTGAGGGCGAGGCCAGGCTGGATGAGGAAGTCCTTGTATGATCTCCTCCAGAAAAGAGACCCCTCCTTCTCCGCCCAGGCCTGGGGACTTCCAGAGCCGATGGAGAATCCTGAGGCTGCTGAGGAGAGCCCAGCCCTGGCAGTTCCAATCTCTGAAGTTCCCCCTGCCCAATCCGGTAACTAATGTGACTTTTAAAACACTTCTATGAACATCTTTCCCAGGCCTTCATGCCTGCCGTTGTTTTCCACCAGTGGGGTGGTTTGTAATCCAAACATCTCTACGTTACGTTCCGTTTTAATTCTGCACACACCTATACATTACTGCCTTCTGACCATCTTGGCCGATTCACTTGATCTGTTTGGTACCTTAATCCTTGTTTGCGGCTTCCGGCCCTATCTGAGCTGGCTTCTTCCCTTGGATTCTTTTTTCCTCTGGGAAGTCGGCCTGTGCAGTTTATAAGTCCTTAGATGGCTCTCAGGCCTTCCTGATTTTCTGTATTCAATCACCTCTGTCCTTTGCATGTATTTGCCTTGAATTCCCGGTCAAGGTCATGTTTCCTTTGTTAAGGATGACATTACCAATTTTAAACCCTTAGGCTCTTAGTAATTGAGCCAGGTCGGGTGGGCTTCCTTTTAGGTTTCTTTGACCTAAGCGAGTGGCCTCTTAATTGGAGAGGCTTGTGAGCCTCTCCGGTGCAAAGTTAATTCCTTCCCTTTCATCTTTAGCCTTGTAAAGTGAGTCTTAACCTTGAGAAAAGTTGTCTTTTCCTGTTTGAGGAATTTTGACTTTGTTTGTAAGGCTATTTAACCTTGAGAAAGG